CGCTGGATACATTGTAAAAACACCTCCTGGAATTCACGGGGTTGCGTTAAGCGAGCTGTTGGAAAGTCGGGCGAAGTTTCCTCAAGTGATATATATCCGTCAATTGTTCTATATCGGCCAACATGAATAGCAAAGGTACAACGCAAATACCCTGCTTTACAGTTGGACAAGAGAAGCGAAATTTTGGAAGTAAAAGAAGCACAGAGTCTATTCAGTGTTGTATTTGCATCTTGAATCCTTGTTTCGTTATCCTCCGGGTTAATTTCTGGTATTAATTGTCGCACAATGAGATCGTCTGACGGTGCCTCTCGTTCAGGTCCACTCCTGCAAACGAAACAATTTTCGCTATCTCTCAAGACCAAAATGCAGGTCCGGCATTTAATCCACAGTGGACGCTTAAAACTTTGACAAAATGAAAATTCACAATAAGATGCTTTAATGTAAACAGATTTGAAGAGCAACTCTGCGAACAAGAACAATTATGGTAAAAAAAATTGGTTTAACTTACTTGTAGTTAATTTTTTTGCATGAAAGTTGCATTTTATACTGTAAATAAAAGCACTCTAATAATGGTTTATTAGCTTCCTGTGAATTTTCCCGTTTTTAAAAGTTTTCTTCTAGTAATTTCATTTTTTAAAACAATGTTATTGCAAGTAGGTATAAAAATGCACGTGTGTAGTAAGCTAAATGGGATACCGGACAGGCAGATTACATTGGAGAGGTGTGTGATTTAGGGTGGATTTCCACTGTCGCGTAATTTTTACGTGCGTGCGTATATAACTCTATCTTATTTACGTGATTAAAACCTTTTATCGAATTCCCGATTCAAGAAAATGAATGAAATAAAATGAACAGATATTATGATTATTTGTGTCTTTCTCACATGTCCTTTAAGAGACATACCCGGTATTTAGAACCACTTGACATAGTACACTTTGGTCACGAAACGCGAAATTCACTATTTACGTTTTTTTAGGAAAATTTCGTGAGTAGTAAATATCCAGCAGTCTACTTTCTTATATGTTTAAACGTTTATTGAACCCGCTTGGTGAAATATTTTCAATGGGGCCTAAAGAGACATTTACTGCGCTTTTCATAAACATGCGAACTCTGAAGTTCAAAAGCCAACTGACGATTGCGTTTTTCGCTGCCGTCAATCATCTTAACGGACCTCTTAGGAAACAAAACTTTACTTTAACGGGTTCAAAGGTCATGGTTTGTGATTTGTGATTGTGTTTCTGTGTTTCAAGGTTCGTTACTTGTGATCGTATAACGTAATTATGATTGACGGCAGCGAAAAACGCAATTGTGAAGGTGACTTTGAACTTTAGAGTTCGTATGTCTGTGAAAAGCGCAGTAATGATGAAATTCCCTGGCAGACAGCGGGTACAGTTTTTTTTTGTTTCGGTAGTCGGTCCCGGGTTACGCTCGGCTAATTCGTGAGCCGAATTTATTTTTGATTTGCTCTGGTTATTATAATGATTGACGCTACTTACAATGAGAAGAAGTCTTACTGTTATTAGGTATGTGGGGAGAATATTTTTTTTTCAATGGAGAGTAAGAAAAGAGGCACGGCCTTTTATTGAAAAAGTGGTGTATATAGAGGATATTACACGGTGGCGAGAAGATATGAATTTTATGTTCGAGTGGCAAGAACAATATCTCACGAGTGAGCGAAGCGAACGAGTGAGATATTGTTTTTGCCACGAGAACATAAAATTCATATCTTCGAGCCAACGTGTAATGTTCTTTTTATTATATGGAGAAACCAATTCAACAAAAGCAAAAGGCGGGAATCGTGACGTCATTGAACGATACGACACTCACAAAGGTGACATACGGAAAATACGCCACTCGGGTCCCGGATGAAGTGGCGTATGAAATCTACGAGTGGTTTAGTTCCCAGTAAAACACTCTCCTCCATATAATAAAAAAGGGTAAGGGGAACTCGGGGTAGGCCGCTTTAATAGATTGTACTCACAAAAGTAGCATAATATGCTACTAGTAGTGCTCGTATATTTCTATAATTATGACATTGATTGTGCAAGTTTATACTCATTTTCGCAAAAAATTCAGAAATTATGCTAAATTAAATTACATTAAATTTGGTAAAAACACCTCAATAACTATGCAAAAAAAAAGTACACGGTAAACACATTTACCCGATTTACATCTAGAAACTTTAAGAGTGAAAACGAAGAACGAAAACGCCGTCTTGGGTTTCCGAGTTACTTATGCACATGCTTTGACTCCTGTGGAAAGAGGTTTGGGTCTGTTCCGGTAGGATCAAAGCCCCATGAATGTAACAATAGGCAGAACAAAAAAATGTTTTGTTATTCAAATTTGCCCATAACATTGATTGGGCCCAAAAAATGGTTCCATAATCAGCAAATACTCAATCAGCAAAACTAGCCAAAAGAGCAAATAGCAGTGCTTTTCTCAGAAAATAGATGAAAATTAGAATTATGCTCGTTATATAGAATCATGGCAAGATGGATGCTAGCACAATCTATCAAAGGCTACTCGAGGGCGAAGCGCCCCCCACCTCCTCTCTCCACTACAAGCGTTGTTAAGTTGGCCCTCCCGGGATACTGTTTTTGTTAGTCCAATAGTTTGTGCAGTACCTGCAAGTCCTGAAAATCGGACCCACCTTGGATAAATAATGAAGAAAAAAATTTCAATTTGGTTAAAAACTAGTCAATTTTTTCTTCAGGTTTGGCAGCATTGGGTTCTACATGTGCAACACAGTTCGGCAGGACTGTTAACAATGACATAGGACTCGCGTCTGCAATCATCATAGCACACGAAGTAGCACACACGTGAGTTAACATGGCAAACTTATTTTGAAAACACTTTCATTGCCTTAAAAAAATCAATATCAAATGACGGCGCTGTTTTGAAGCTTTTAGAGATTCAATGGCAGCATTCCAGTATTTCATTGAGGTAAAAATAAACCTCCGCTACCGCATGCTTGAACAGGAGTCAGGAGTACAGCGGAAAACATTATAATTTTTATTGTTGCTGTGTTCTGATGTGGACAAAATAATAAACTTTTCTCAAATGTAGGTTAATATAATAATAATAATAACATTAATAAAAATAATAATATTAATAATAATAAAAATAATAATATTGTTTACAAATTAAAAACTAAATATGTCCACGATAGAAAAACTATTTACAATTGTGAATAATTTAAAAGTGGGAAAAAGAAAATTAAGCATTAGTAAGAAAAAAAAACTATCAAAAATCTAAAATCTATCAAAAATCGAATAATAATAATAATAATAATAAACAGTTTATTAATCACCATTGCAGTTAAAAATATTGAATTACAGGGATAAAATACAAGCTTCAAAACTTTACGCTATTTAACAATACTATACATCATATACCTCTACACACTAGCACTTACATACTGTACGCTTGATTGAAGCCAATAAATGAGCCAGAACGCTTCGCACGGCACATGTCCCTGTTGTTACATGCCTTGGTACTACTAGTCGTCCTTATCCTGAGGTTGTAGTCATGAGTGTGAACTCTGCTACTTGGTAGTAAAAAGTGATTTGGGTGACTAATATTGTGTAACTTCTGTATGTAGGTTTGGAGTTGGACATGATGGTGGTCAGTGTAATAATGGAGAGTATATCATGGCTAGTGCTGTTAGTGACGGAGAAAACGCTTTCAAATGGTCAACATGCAGCCGTGACCGTATTCAGGAATTTCTCACGTTAGTATTGTCGTTACTCTGAGTAGTATAGTAGGGAAGTTTTAGGTCCTATCAGCGGAAGAATCTCATTTAGGTGCGGCAAGACAAGTAAGCTTTGAGGATGTTGATGGAATAGAGAAGAAAGAGGAGGAAGTGCGGGTGAATAAAATTCAGAAAGGACTTCACCTTTCTCACTAGGAAAGCTCCCTTAATGTGGAGGGGGGCGTAGGAAGATGTTAGGAAGATTGAGAGGCGAAGAAGGGGAGAGCGCAGAATTTTCTCGATTCAATTTAGTATAAATTACTCTGCTATATGAACGAAAATTTGTTATGGCTGAAACGTGAACAACCGTGAAAAGTCTTTGCAAAGTCTGAATACGTACTTCTAATGTCTTCAAAACCTAGGAAAACTCCGTTGTTAGTCAAAACGAGCCGGGCTTCAACATTATTCCAAAATCATTATTCCTGTTTTGCAAATGTCGCACCAAAGGAGAATTTTGCTTTCCACCCAGTTACACAGGGTATTCACTAAAAGAAAATATATATATTTAAAATGTCAAATTTTGTCCAATGTTATTTTTCCAGGGGATCTGGGTCGTCGTGTTTGGATGATAACCCAAGTGACTTCATGCACGAGCCAAGCATATTTCATAACAAATTACCAGGGCAGATAATGAATGGAAGTCTGCAATGCCAGCTACAATATGGTGCAGATCACTACCAGTGTCCACAGAGAATAGTATGGCCATACTTAGTTCTTTTATCTTATGTATACAGTACAAGTGGAAATTACAAACGATATATTTGAGTGTAGTAAGACCGTACCAATTGCATTGTATCATTGCTTGTTCCAATCTACTAAAACCAATCCAACTTCAAAGAAAGTATTTAGGCTATGTTCATACTATGCCGCTGGATCCCGCGAGATAGCTCTTGTGCCGACACGAAAACCTAAACGGATAGAGATCCTATTCACGTTTATGCAATATAGTGTGAACACAAGTGGAGCAAAACGTGTCGGCATGAAAAGCTATGCAATATAGTGTGAACACAGGTGGAGCAAAACGTGTCGGCTTGAAAAACTATGCAATATAGTGTGAACACAAGTGGAGCAAAACGTGTCGGCATGAAAAGCTATGCAATATAGTGTGAACACAAGTGGAACAAAACTTGTCGGCATGAAAAGCTATGCAATATAGTGTGAACACAGGTGGAACAAAACTTGTCGGCATGAAAAGCTATGCAATATAGTGTGAACACAGGTGGAACAAAACTTGTCGGCATGAAAAGCTATGCAATATACATGTGCAACACAGTTCGGCAGGACTGTTAACAATGACATAGGACTCGCGTCTGCAATCATCATAGCACACGAAGTAGCACACACGTGAGTTAACATGGCAAACTTATTTTGAAAACACTTTCATTGCCTCAAAAAAATCAATATCAAATGACGGCGCTGTTTTGAAGCTTTTAGAGATTCAGTGGCAGCATTCAAGTATTTCATTGAGGTAAAAATAACATTATAATTTTTATTGTTTCTGTGTCCTGATGTGGACAAAATAGTAAACTTTTCTCAAATGTAGGTTAATATAATAATAATAATAATAATAATAATAATAATAATAATAATAATAATAATAATAATAAAATTGTTTACAAATTAAAAACTAAATATGTCCACAATAGAAAAACTATTTACAATTGTGAGTAATTTAAAAGTGGGAAAAGGAATATTAAGCATTACTAAGAAAAAAAAACTATCAAAAATCTAAAATCTATCAAAAATCGAATAATAATAATAATAATAATAATAATAATAAACTGTTTATTAATCACCATTGCAGTTAAAAATACTGAATTACAGGGATAAAATACAAGCTTCGAAAATTTACGCTATTTAACAATACTATACATCATATACCACTACACACTAGCACTTACATACTGTACGCTTGATTGAAGCCAATAAATGAGCCAGAACGCTTCGCACGGCACATGTCCCTGTTGTTACATACCTTGGTACTACTAGTCGTCATTGTCCTGAGGTTGTAGTCATGAGTGTGACCTCTGCTACTTGGTAGTAAAAAGTGATTTGGGTGACTAATATTGTGTAACTTCTGTATGTAGGTTTGGAGTTGGACATGATGGTGGTCAGTGTGATAATGGAGAGTATATCATGTCTAGTGCTGTTAGTGACGGAGAAAACGCATTCAAATGGTCAACATGCAGCCGTGACCGTATTCAGGAATTTCTCACGTTAGTATTGTCGTTACTCCGAGTAGTATAGTAGGGAAGTTTTAGGTCCTATCAGTGGAAGAATCTCATTTAGGTGCGGCCAGACAAGTAAGCTTTGAGGATGTTGATGGAATGGAGGAGAAAGAGGAGGAAGTGCGGGTGAATCAAATTCAGAAAGGACTTCACCTTTCTCACTAGGAAAGCTCCCTTATTGTGGAGGGGGGCGTAGGAAGATGTTAGGAAGATTGAGAGGCGAAGAAGGGGAGAGCACAGAATTTTCTCGATTCAATTTAGTATAAATTACTCTGCTATATGAACGAAAATTTGTTATGGCTGAAACGTGAACAACCGTGAAAAGTCTTTGCAAAGTCTGAATACGTACTTCTTACGTCTTCAAAACCTAGGAAAACTCCGTTGTTATTCAAAACGTGCCAGGCTTCAACATTATTCCAAAATCATTATTCCTGTTTTGCAAATGTCGCACCAAAGGAGAATTTTGCTTGCCACCCACTTACACAGGGTATTCACTAAAAGAAAAAATATATATTTAAAATGTCAAATTTTGTCCAATGTTATTTTTCCAGGGGATCTGGGTCGTCGTGTTTGGATGATAACCCAAGTGACTTTATGCACGAGCCAAGCATATTTCACAACAAATTACCAGGACAGATAATGAATGGAAGTCTGCAATGCCAGCTACAATATGGTGCAGATCACTACCAGTGTCCACAGAGAATAGTGAGGCCATACTTAGTTCTTTTATCTTATGTATACAGTACAAGTGGAAATTACAAACCATATATTTGAGTGTAGTAAGACCGTACCAATTGCATTATATTATTGCTTGTTCCAATCTACTAAAACCAATCCAACTTCAAAGAAAGTATTTAGGCTATGTTCACGCTATGCCGCGGGATCCCGCGAGATAGCTCTTGTGCCGACACGAAAACCTAAACGGATAGAGATCCCATCCACGTTTAAGAAAAGTGATTTTGACGCTGTTTCTGTAACGTAGTGAAGTTGCGCCGCACCGATCTCGAAAGTAGAGCGACACATACCGGTTTGGGTCTTTGCCACACCTTGGTGCAGTATGAACAGGGATTCGGACCCGACAGGAAGTGAATAGGTAAGAGTGAGGACTAGAATCCACTGGAACGGAAGTAAAATTTCAGTAGCGAGGACTGGAATTTAGATCACCAAACTTCTCTCGGCCAACCACTCCAGCACGATCTTCGATCTGTGTGAAACACAGGTGGAGCGAAACGCGGCAAATCAAGTTACTTCTTTTGGATCGCGCTGAACGTACAATTAGTAGTAACAGTCCCCCTGACACAATTAAAAGCAGTGGCTGTAATTTATGTAAAGTAGATTGAAAGGATGTATTTTGATCTGGGGGCGGGGGGAGCGGATTTCAAGTAAAGGGATGATCGAAGGTTTTTTTTGTGTTTGAGATTTTCGATTTCGGGATTTTTGGGGTAGGAAAATTTTGGCAAGTATTTTCTTGGTAGCTTGATTTAAATAGGGATTTTTGGGGGGTATTCGAAACTGATGTTTCTATTTTTGTGTAAAATCATTTAATGCTTTCTGGAAAATTTAATGGCTCGGAAATTCGGCACGGGATTTTTGGCGTTTTGTGTGAAGCCCAATGTATTTTTTTGGGTTTCGATTTCTGCCCCCATTTGATCATCCCCGTTACTTGAAATCCGGAGTACCTACTGGGATTTTGAGGGAGTCACCACCCCCACGTCCACACCTCATTCTGGCTCAGTCAATACGTTTATAGTTTATCGCTGGGTTATATCCGTTTCTTAGGCGGACTGTGGAGCCTTATACTGTACCAAAGACGGCTACGCATGTGTTAGTTTCCAAGCACCTCCTGTTGACGGTACTCGCTGTGGAGATCGACATGTGAGTGACATATTCATTAACGCTAATAAAACTACCTTTTGATAGTATGAAAGTAGTGTAGTATAGTATGATAAGAATTTAGCCGCCATGGTTTTGCCTAGGTAGGTAGAGTGAGATCTCTTTGTAAGTTCGTAATATCAAAATAACTGGGAGACGGTAAAATGAATGCAGACTGAGACTGAAGAAAGCAATAAACACGCACCATAAACCTGTGCTTGCCAAAAGCTCTGAGTTTGCCTCGAAAAATCACGCCTTTTTAGCCACATAGGTTAATGAACCGAGAAAAGAATTTACTTAATTTGTGGAAAATTCATCAAGTCTGTTAAAATCATCTCGTGCATTCAATTTAATTTGTCAGCTCGACTTTGAGTCCTTCACGTTCACTTTCTGTTGACCTGTAAACCTCGCTGTTTAAACTGTGTAGAAGATTGCCCTTGTATTCCTTATCCAAAGATTTAGCCATTATCCCTTAACCCAGCCCTAACCCATTCCGTAGTTCTTTTTTGGAGATTAGTGGCCTTTCCAAAATGCGACAATTTTATAATAACGAAATAGTATTTCTTTCAAAATCAACCCATCCACTTTCTGTCTGAGCGCAGGCTTTACTGACAACGTTGAGTAATTTTAGTGGTGCATCAAAGGCGAATGTGTGGATGATGGGTCTCCGATGATTGATGGAGGATGGAGTGATTGGCAGGATACTCACTCGTGCACACGGTCATGTGGTGGTGGTGTACGATGGAAAACAAGAACGTGTTCCAACCCAGTGTAAGGAACATTTTCCAGTTTTTATTTTTGTTATAAGGGTACTGACCCTCCAAAAGCGCACGAGCACAATTCCTCCAGTAAAAACGACTTAACCAAATGGCGACAAAAACATCTTGGAAATCTCATTTAATATATTTCTGAGTTTTACGCCAGAGAGCATAAACGATGGTCATTCTGATCATCAGAAACATAAACCATTTGCAGCATTCCAATATTTATTTTTATAGTTAACATTACTGCTGTGCTTGATCTTGTCACACAGCCCACAGAATGGAGGGGAAAAATGCGAAGGATCAGCCAAGGGAATGTGGACAATGTGCAATACTCAGGTAAAATTATTATGTTTGATTAAAAGCAACACGACATAATTCAAGTGTTTCTTCATACATTTTGATACGGGTTGTACGTGGGACCTTAGCGATGATGATAACTGAAAATGAGTTTAGTCATCATGATACTGATGGATTCGCCCTCGGCCCTCTCCTCCAATAAACGTGGATCCCAGCTGACCCTGAATTAACAGGAAAAGGCCGAAAGATGCAAGTGATTAATTTGATGAATCGTAGAATAAATCTGAAAACTTACAATTTACTTCAACCACAAGTATCGTCTATTCATTGATTTACTTCCTGTTTAACATTCTTACTGTGGTTAGTGAAACAAATCTCATGTTTTTCCCAGCCGTGCCCTCCAGGATCCACCGACTATCGCCTTCTTCAATGCCGAGCTCTTCAACCGACGACTGCCGTGCAGTGGGAGGCTGGTAAAGTACACAGGCTTTTTCTTATTCTTTGAGAATAACAACTGCGTTGCGGTTATTTTTAACTTTTTTTTCCACCTCTAACACGAAACGAAATTATTGGTGTCGTTCTATTATACAGTCGACTCCCGTTATTGCGGACACCCTTAATAGCGAGACAACGAGCATTCCTTTGTAGTTTCGACAATTCTTTACCTCTTTTAACTATGGACCATAAAAGATTAAAGATAATAAGATTGTAAAAAGATCTAAATATGCTGTATAGTCACTTCCAAGCTCCTGCAATGACAAGGGATACATAAGAAAGGGCTTAAAAAACCAAACGGAAACACCTCCAGTAACGTGAATGGCTAAAATGTTAACTTGCTGCCAAATATAATCATGTTTTTATTGTTCTTGGCAGCTCTTTTATCGCAGAAATGCTGCACAGTATACTCATAACAGAAACCTGTCTAACGACTTTTGCAGTAGAGTGTTAAAGTAACGCAAAATGTTTGTAAGCTCCAATGGCAATCTCTTTTCTCCCTAAAATACTGTTCAGCAGTCATTTTTTTACCTTTTTACAAAGAAGCGCTCGATAGTACTTAGTGTCATTTTTCCTTTATTGTAATATCGCTTTATTCTTTATATTATGCGAGTCAGGGTTTTTGACGAAGTACTCATAAGTGTCCGCTATAGCGAGAGAAAAAACAAGTGAAATATCGCGCTTGGGGGGGCAGGAAAGTGTCCACATTTCCGTAATAGTGGGAGTTTGTTTCAGTCATTTCTTTATGCGTTTCGCCGGGGAGGGGGGCTGGCTCTTGTCCGCATTAGCGGGGTGTCCGTAATAGCGAGGTGTCCGCAAGGCGAGAGTCGACTGTACATTGTGCAGTAGGATAATGTAGGGAAAGTTGTGTACTGTCTATCCATTAAACTAATGACAAGAGATGAGGCTAAGGATATCCGTGGAGAACACAACGACCCCAAAACGGCAAAGTAGTCAAATAAACTCTGAGGTTGAGTTACAAAGAGTAAGACGTGGAGTACTGAAAAAATAGATTATGTTTTTGTCGTGTCGACTTATTCACACACATAATATATATGCTTTTTGCAGTATAGTATGAGATTCTTCCGCATTTTATTCATGAGATAGGCTCATAAGACTATGAAAATATCCGAATAAAACACATCCTAAAGGCCTAAAACGTCCTTACTATACTACTTTAATTTGTGCTAACTCTAGGTTTGTATCACTGTACGCGCGGCTTTGGTGCGAGTATGAGGTTTTGTTATTAGTAATAAAGCAGTGACAAGCTGTGAAGGGAGCCTTTAAATTTAGAGAATTCGGTGTAAATTTTCCTCCTTAGATCCATGCATATTGTCGTGTCGACGTGGAAGTAAAGTCAGAATATGGGGCAGAGTTAAGGACGGTACAGCTTGTGGCAGCAACTCAAAAGTCCACGATGTCTGCATCGAAGGGATTTGCAAGGTTAGTATTCATCCTTTAGTCAGGTCATTACAAATCGATAGTACACTTTGGCAGAAACCTCCGCTTTTTTAGGAAGCAAGTTATATATCAAACTCATCGGAAATATTCTTTTCACTATGATGTCATATTGTACCTGCAGAATTAAAACAAGAGAACTGAAAACCAGGAATTGGTAGTGAACAAAACTAGTATTTTAAAGGGCAGTCAATAAAGTGTATTTTCTAAAAGCTTTCTCAGAATATTTTCAATTCATTTATTAGTTTATTCTAATATTATTGGTTATGTTGTTAGTAAGGAAATGTTAAATATACGTGTCTTATAATGTAAGATGTGTACACTTCATTCCAGATATGTTAAGCGTATTAGAGAGGACTAAGTTAAGTTGAACCTTCCGTAAGCGAGCACTCGTCGCAAATGGGGGTCTCTTTCTTCCTTATTTATTTTTATTTATTTATTGAGGCAACCAAAGTCGCGTGTCGAATCGAAAATACTTTCTCAAAACCAAACCATGGTCACTTTATAAATCGATTCCAGATTTATTTCTACAAGCATTATGAATACTTTACATAATTTTCTTTCAATTTAGCCTGTTGGCTGTGATCATAAGCTAGATTCAGGAGTCAAATATGACCGTTGTGCAGTTTGTGGAGGAGACAGTTCTACTTGTACCTATGTCAGCTCTAACTACACTAAGAACTGGTTCAGATGGGGTAAGAATTGGTAGAGCATTAGTTACCTGGTTACCGAGAAAATATACGGTTTGTTTTATCTTCTCTCTGGAATGAGACGCTATAAAATGTTACTATGCAAAACGTCTTGTTATAACTGTCACATGCCGAATAGAATTGCAACACTTTTCATTAGTCTGCCTGAATAGGGCTGAGATCATTCAAACCTTTCTGATGTGCACCCGAGAGGAGAGGAAGTAACTAAGGTACCTTACCACGTTGAAAACGGAGGCCGAAAGGGAAGTATTTTATCTTTAAAAGTGAATTGGATAATAATTATTGTATGACATTTTCTGATAAGAGAGTACTTACGCAGCAGTTTTTGAACCCACTGACAGGTTTTTTTTGACTGAATTGTATATGACGTATCCTTTTAGAAGAGTAGTCACGCACCAGTTTTTGAACTCACATACAGGTTTATTCCGTACACTGTAAACTGCTCTCTGTATACTTTTAAACACTGTGGACTCCGAGACTGCGACAGAGTAAAAAAAAAAAGGTAACTTATTCCGCTCTATCTTGATGGTTGTTAATTTTTCTTCAATGCCGCGCAGTCGCTTATACACTTAAAAAATGTTCTCGGGGGAGTTAAGTTGATAATTAATTGGGCGGAATGCAAAACAGAAAGTTTTCAAAAGAAAGTACATATTACGACCAGGATTTTATGGCCCAACGGTGGTCGTATTAACGGGGTTCCACTGTAGCCCGTAAATTGTATTATTAATGATCATTTGGCTGATTTTTATTTCTAAGGACCAAACGATCCAGATAAAATTGTCACCGTCCCAATCGGTTCAACAAATGTTTTTGCCCAGATGAGGCATAATACTAGAAACATGTTAGGTAAGTATTCTGACTGACTAGTGAGTGTAATAACGGTTTTTTGGACAATATATGTACATGACGACTCTTCACTTGTCCATTAACCTTAGACTAACCTACTTTACAGCGAAATAAAAAATATGAAATAACAAAATTATCTAAAACACTGTTATCGCTATTAAAAACTATCATGACGAAGACTCGCTATCCAAATATCAATTCAACCGAATGCTTTAGTGTAAGGTTCATGTAAAATGGAACTTTTTTTAACAAAGATGTTTGAAGCAATATCAACACAAATCGAAACAACTTCATGAACGATGTTTTCCACTCTTGTTTTTACTTTTGTTCAGCTGTAAACTACTGTTGAAAAAATCTATCTTTAGACACAAAAAAAATATAAGGAACGAGTCACAGGTAAGCGACGTGTTCACTGCTGTCGGCTTCGCCTCTTGTGGCGACGCTGTTCGCTCTGGGCCAGCAAAAGAGTTTGTTCGCCCACTAATCGGCGGAGACCAAGCAAAAGAATTCTCGCGAAAAGGGAGGTAAACATTTTCAAACAAAACGATTGCTCGACATCTTGAAATCTTTACAAAACCTCATCACTTTATTGAAGTTTATAGATGTATTGCATTTTTCTAGGAGTTGAAGACTACAGCGATCGATGGGTATACAAGGTGGGATATACATGGAGTACTACAGTGAAAGCCGCGGGAACACAAGTGGCTTACGATCACGAGTACTACGTGTGGAAAGATAAGGTGGAAATTCCTGGACCCACCAAAAAAGTTCTAAAACTCATGGTGAGTGCAAGCCTTGTCTTTCCTTTAGTTAAAGGAGACTCTGGATTGTATTAGAGGCTACGTTTTAATGGTCACATATCGCAAGTGCTCGGAAGCCTGTGAAAACATGCTTTTGACAGGTAGATTACTGTATCCAATGCGCTCACTTCGTTCTTTCAAGACACATTTTTTCAGGTTATTGATATTAATATTCATTAAGCGTGGTTTCTGTCAAATAACACTTTAAAGTGTTATTTGGTCTTAAAAGAGCTACAAAAACATTATGCGTATTACGACCTTACAGGGAACCTTTTTTTTGCTCCTTTCTAATGTAGTTTGTTCATATCGGTGGCAGTAACCCTGGAGTAGACTTTCACTTCATGTCACCGCAGAAAAGTATAGTATCTCCTGACCAGGTCAAATGGAAGGTGGAAGACTGGGGAGACTGTTCTGAAGACTGCGCTGGAGGTACGATAATAAAATAGTTGTACTTCCCTGGAGAATTATCACATGTTCATGCTGAGGGAAGCAAGGAAATGCCAAATTATCATAACTTACTGCTAGAAAAAAAATTGCCAAAAGTCGATTTATAAAGCGAGGAACGTGGTCCGAACCTATTTATATGCGTATTAGTTAAGTTTTTGAATCGCGTTTTCAAGAAGGAACGATTTAACCGATTTAAAATAGGGACAAACAAAGTAAGTTTGATGAACAGAAGTTCTTTAATCTCAGCCCGTATTCAGCATAAAGTTGTTCTTCTTGTAGTGCTAAGTGTATGCGCCGTAGGTTTTTGAATACTCAGTTTCTTGCAATTAAACTTTGGGTAGGAATATCCTTTCAGTTAGCTGGAGGTAGTCCGTCGGTAATCTTTTCTCTATTTGTGCGTCAACTTTCACAAATGTGTTAGCGTAGCATTTTAAGGTTAAATTGACCAAGATATTGTGGAGCGAGTTGTATGGTCACGATTGACTTCGAACTTGTAGATATAAAACTAGAGAGCTCTGAGGCCTATCTGCTGAAGTAAGGGAAAATCTGTCGTAGGATTTTGAAGTTATTTACATTTTTTCCTAAAAATGCGGTTTTAAATTTATGCCAATATCTCAAACGTTTTTATACCTAAAAGAAAATTAACAATATTTCCTTAAAGTTCCACCATTTTTGTTAAGGATGCCAAAAATCATAGATATCGTTAGATCATTCCTGCTGAAAAACGCGATTCAAAAACATAACCAACACGCATGTAAATAGGTTCAAGCCACCTTAAAAGTGATTTTAATAATGGCCTTCTTCGGCGACATGTTGCAGGTTACCAGCAGAGACTGGTGGAGTGTGTGCGCAAAGACGACGAAAGTTACGTAAACGACAAAATGTGCCTGAAGACAAAAACTAAACCGCTGAAGACAAGAGCCTGCAATACACAACCTTGTGCAGCTGAGTAAGTATGGGCATTTCCTTAATTAGCAAATCAAAACTGTTAGCGGTCGTGGCCACTAAAGCCTCAGTCTATTCTAGGAACCTCTTTAACTCATCCTTCGTGAGTCACTCTTGCGGACTGAGGATGTGGCCCGTTCTCAAACTTTCCTCATGACTGATTCTCAATCTTGAATTATTTATGTTTGAAAACGTTTTTTGAAAATCATGTGAACGTACGCGTCACCCACAAGAAAAAAATGTATAACTTATTGGACATGATGTGTGCCCGGTCCTGGCCACTTACTGTATACAAAGTGCACGTGTACCATTTCTAGTAATGTTTCGGCTGGTATATAGTACTCACACTGGTCCAACAGGGTTATTTCTGGATGCAATAGTTAAAAGTCAGTTTTGGGGAGGCATCGCAGCGGAATGTTCAAGCCACACTTGCGGCTGTGTTGGTCGCATCAGTGACGCATTTTTTTCCAAACCCTGACAACACAATCAGGTGTTATTTACTATCAACACTTGAGTTAATTTTGTCCTCAAAACATTCTTACTACCTATTTTGTTGCCTTTAATTGGCCATTTCCGAGTTCCAAAAACCCTCCCTTTCAAAACGAGGCAAAGTGCAAAGTGTTTCCTGTCAAAGAGTTTCATTTGCCTGAGAATTAATAATCATTTCATATCACTTAGCCTCGCTTTGAAACAGAGGCTTAAGGTCACTCAGAAATGGTCTATTGCATTGTCAATATACAGCAATACAAAGAGTACAACGAACATAGTTATTCCATATCATTATTATCTCGGTTTTCCATAGTAACCACCATAGTAACTGTTTGTTTTTTGTGTTGATTATATCAAAACCATGAAGGTGGTACAAATCTGGCTGGAGACCCTGTTCAAAGACATGTGGTAGAGGAATTCAGCTGAGAAAGATTGTTTGTAGGCGAAAGGTTACTCAGAATCTCCATGAAACGGTCAAAGATTCATTGTGCGTTGAGGAAAAACAAACAGGAATTCTACAACAAGAATGCAATAAAGTGCCTTGCCCGGCTGAGTGGAAACATATGTCTTGGAGTGAGGTAGGTGTACGGCAATTTGCCAGTCTGAACAAAATTGCCCAGCTGCGCGCGTGAGATTAATTGGAACTTGATATTTTATGAGATGTCTTTCACATCAACAATCCTTTGCCTGGATAAGGGTCAACCCAATGTAGAGCAAGATCAACTGTTAACTGCCCCGCGATAGCCGCCCAAAGATCGAAGAATCGACTTTTTGAGCTACAAGACTCAGCCCTCCTTGTGCTTTCTGTGTAGTTATATGTATGGTACACTTGCTTTCATTTTTATTCTGCGTTTTACCTTGATCTCAGTGCTCTCGGTCATGTGAAGGAGGTACCAGGACTCGCAGTTTGAAATGTATGAAGCTAAATGCCAATGGAATGCTGGTATCTGTGTCCGATATCCAATGTGAGCACGCAGTCAAGCCAAACACAATTGAGGAATGCAATACAGACGTTCTCTGTCCCCGTAAGTGTTCACAACAGATTTCATTTCCGGTTTTACATTGCACCGATTTAAGGTAAAAAAGGTATAAAGGCGTACTGTTGCCTTGATGAGGAAGTCTCTATTTAACTGATAACACCTCTTTGGTACTTGTTACTGACAACAGTGAAGCTATCCCCTGCAAGTTCAGCTACAATTGGCACAGTATATACAATGGAAAATTCTCACGGTCAGCTGACCCAAACATGTCTTCAATTTGACTATTTCATTCGCTGGTGATTGGCTTGTTAGTTAGAACTTAAAAGACAGAAGAAGTAGAAGAAGCCACAGTAAAGAAGAGTAAACAGGAAGAATAAAGCCATCGAGTCTCGTTACTTCTCGTTCAATTGCTTAAGGAGGCATTAGGTCTCCTACTTGCGCCCAACACAATATCTACACTACACAATCGATGGTATCTGACGTCGTAATTGAAAACAATGGAACATATTTAGTAAAAAATTCTGCTACCCTCCCCTTTTTCTTAATCGAAGCATTGATCCCTTAAATTGTTGCCGTGTGGGTCTGTAAGTTTTTCAGTTTTCCTAATGATCTATTCAACCCAGGAGTAGGAAGGCAGCCAGAAATACCTATGGAAACTGGACAAGACAATTCTAATAAACCTAATTTATCTTATAGACTCGATAGTAGGCTCCGATGGGAAACATTTCGTCGCCCTGGGCTGCTACAGGGACAGTTCACACTTCCGTGCCTTGCCCGAGTTGGTGGCAAATTTACGTAAGAAAATAGACTGGAGGAAAATGGAAAAAACTGTTGAGGACTGCGCACACAAAGTGGTGCTAAAGAACTCTACATACAAGGTGAATTACCTAGTTGGTTACCTAAACTGAGGATCGGTTCCAAGGGGCCCGGATAAGGTGATTTGCGGAAAAGGCGAAGAACTTTATTCTTTCTTTCTTTATGTATAGTTGCTAGATCACCGCTAAATGATCATTGAAATGAGCTAAAATAATGATCATTTTTTTATAACTAGAGTTATTTAAGGCTCGTTTGAAATGAGACATTAGTAGTAGGGAGGGGTTACTTTGGACCCCTTTTAGACAAGGTTGGACGTACTAATCTAGAAACGTTTTGGGCTTACTTTTGAAGCAATATATCTTTTGATAAAATAGTAATGTTTTGCGTCTCTTATTGCGATGAAATCTCCTATACTCACGATGCAATACGCTATCGTCGATGACCTTAGACAAAAGGGGAGTTTTAAGGTAAATAAAAGAGAAATGTGTCTGCACATCAACAGTGACATACCTATTGGTGCACTCTTTGTCCATGACTTTGTGACTTCATGAACATTAATATACTCCACTAACTGCAAATTATTAAGATCGGAACGTCTGATGGAGGTTTCAAACTGGTAATTCTCCTAAGCATCAGTTAATCCGGGGGCGGATTCAGGATTTTTCTTAGGAGGGGGTGTGGGCACCACTAAGGTACAGCGTAACTGACTGGTGACGAAAACAAATTTTCATACAGAATACCAGTTGTATTAGTAAGCCGCAGGTCATCTCAGGGGGGAGGGGGTGCCCACCCCCTGCACCTCTCCCCCTAGATCCGCCCCTGTAATCGTGACCACAGCTTACTACGCTTGGGACAAAAAGAAAATCTTATGCCTCGGTGAAGACTAATTGTTGGGGGTCGTTATTAAAGGTAATTGACGTAGGAAAAGGGCTTAATTTTATTCACCTGTCACTGCTTGATATTGTTAGGTATTCGGAATCCAGTTCTACGGCGAGTGTTGGTCAGGAGATGAAGGAGACAAGACTTACAGTGAATACGGTACCTCACCGAACTGCTGGAAAGGCGTGGGCGGCTCAACCGCTAATTTTGTCTACGCGTTTGTTGATGATAATAAGGTGAATACTACACACATTGCAATAGAAGGCATCTAACTTGTAGCTAAATATCTTTTATTCATTTGGTAGGGAGGGTCCGTTCCTAACTGAGAAGGTAAGGACGGAAGGAAAGACAAATATCAAGTACTCATGCTCCTATTCTACGTTATTGATAAATATTTATAACTTACTCAATAACAAAAGGCCTAATTTGCGTTTTTTTCTTATTCTCGCCAGAATCCTTAAGTCGAAGCTTATGAAGGAACTACGGAGTGTCGTCTGAAAAAAAAACGCATAAACTTGGTGGCGCTCTCTTGTTCATACCTTGTAGTTTAGCTTATGAAATCCTCAGTGCAAGCATGTACCGTAATAAAGCGTATGTTATAGACCTTACGTAGCAAGAATAATTGTTTTGACTCACTGTACTTTATTCATCTTCTCGGAAGATCTCTAACTGCTCATTGTAAACGACACAGTATCTTCGCTAAAAATACGAAAAGATATAGCGTGTTTTCGCTAATTAACATGCGCATACCGTTGAACGAAAGAACCCAAGGAAATGAAAATGTTACAGAAGACCATTTTTTTCATTCATTTACCGAAAAATTTCACGCAAGTCTATAGAGCTTTGTGTGGGGACGGCAGGCTGACCTGTACCGACATGGGACACCAATATGGCGGCCGAAAAACGACGAAGACACCAGGTTTTCACTTTTGGAATTAAAATGCTTCCTTTTTTGCTTTTAAGCTATAATTAACATGCGCATAAACACATTTCGTACCGCTTTAAATTTATGAACCACTGAAAATCATAAGGAGAGAGCTTTCCTGCACCCAGAAATCTCTGCTTAGGCTACCACTGTGGTGTCACTCACTGTGAAAATTCGGAAATTCAAAAAGCTGCGTTTTCAAAATGAAAGACGCTACCGGGCTTGAAGCGTCTACAAATATTTATTCTTCGGTCAACTTCAACCTGGTGTACATAAGAATTCAGAGGACCCCGCTATTTTGATTTCAGAATTGGATGACGTCATGGTGAAAACACACATGGCTAGGTATACCCTCATAAACTAAATATGCTGTGACCCTACAATTGTAATTTACAACGGCAGCCAATGTTGAAAGGTTAAAACTAATGGCTGCAACTACACTTATGTAATTCCACGCACGTTGAAAAGTTTCTTCTAAACGAGACTCCTCCGGATTTTATTGACCTTACACTAATGCTATTCGATCATAGAAAAAAAGGCCTAAACTGCTATGATATCATCATGACGGAGCTAAAGAAAGATGTGCGTACCGTGAATAAGTGCGTAAAAATTACGCGACAGTGGAAATCTACCCTAAAGCACTGCAGCCATCGACGCAGCCAATTAAACCTCTATTCCCATCAATCATGATCAAGACACTGGCTGAAGATCCCACCGAGATCTGCGACCCTTCGATTTGACTACGAGCACGAAATCGATTGCGAGTTTGACTTTGGAATTAATTTTGTAACTCGAACTACACTCGTCCAATCTAAAGGTCACTAAAATCACATCATCTTCTTCCACCTCGGTTAGCAAACAGGGATACAATCAACAATATTCATTTGAACATAACTTCTTTTTTATTACTACTATTGTGAGATGGGTTTCACAGATCAAAGTGCAGGGTATATATCGTTAAATAGGCCTGATATTTTCTGTACAATTTAACTTGTGATTATTTTACAGGGATTTAATCTCTAAAAATAAATAATATATCTCTTCTTACATCTTCAATTAACGTCAACGCTTTACGAATTACACATTCTTCAATTCCTGAACCCAAACATCTTTTATTACTTGCGATCACTCTGTAGGATATGGATTTATATCTCACTATGTAAGGTGACTTTTCCACTCTCCCTTTTTTAACTTTTGATAGGTTATGATTAAATCAACTCAATTTTTATGTGAATTTAAAACTAAACTAAACCATCTTAAGTCAGGTTTAACAAACGTTGAAATTAAAAAGAAACGTGTTTACCTCTACATTATTATAATTTTGCAACAAAGATACCCTGATACCCTTTTATTTCCAAGACTGCCTTGTGGTGAGGGTTTTTGCGCCTGAAGCTGACTGAATGAAATACTGATCATGGCTTTACAAGGTGGTGCTAACGGTTTTGCCAGTGTGGATCATTTTTTTCAATGAAAGGAACTGAACAATCCCTTTCTGTTGTAATAGTCATGTTACTGCGCAAGTGCCGGGTGCTAACGTTTTAGTCTGTGGATGGAATTTATTAGCATTCATTCATATGAAAGCTCTGTAGCAGTGCTTTCTGGTGGTTATGTTTAGTATGCTGCACAAGGTGAAGCTGATTTTTAGGGCCTAAGAAGAAGTCACCGATTAAATAAAAACCACAGAGAAGTAACGTCTTCTGTCACTGTTCATTATCCCGCAGAAAGTGGTGGTTATAACTTTAGTTTGTGGACAACTCTAAAAGACCTCCACAAAAGTAACAGCCATTGATCAGTATTCTAGAATAGTACTGTGCGCTTTTCTTTATTTTGAAAAGCTGGAAATGAAAGGGCCAACTATACTGTTGTCATTTGTTCAGAGTCTCTGATGAAGGAACTCAACTGACTTTATCTTACACGCTATACTCAGAGAAATAATAATCAGGTGAAAAAAGGACACGTCTACATATTGTAAGTGTCGCGAGGGATTAGGTCAACCGGTAACACTGTCGAATATCGAATACTTTTGTTTCTTGATTACAAGAGAAACTGCTATCATAGTTTCAGCTATAAGCTTGCTACAGCTGCCGTCCAAATGTTATGCTCATCTCCTATGTTACATCTGTACCTCCTGTATTAATGTTTTTCAAATTAAAACGCACGAAAAAGGCAGATGCCGACCAATACAAACCCTATTCCAGCATTGATTTACAATTCTTTGCTCGCCGATGTTTTAAACCAACTCAAGTTTTACACATTTTAGTCGAGTTGTCACTCTGTACGATGATTTAGTCAATGCTTTTACTTATGAATTGGAAGATAAAGTGTTGGTCCGAATGGCAATCTGAAATGTTGGGGATGTTACAAAGATGCTCGCCTTTTGAGTAAGCATCCAAAGTTCTTTCCATGCAATAATTAATGATCTCCGTTCATCCTTTTACATTGCAGAAAGAGCTCAACAAGTAGAAAGATAAAATAAGCTCCCACTCAATTCAGCAATCTATCTGCAGACTTGCGAGAAATTTAACGAGTCAAAAGGGATTCTTTAACCCTCGTCTGTTGAAAGACCAAGAACAGCTTGAAGCTAACATCTTGATCTTTGCTTATACGGCCTCCATTCGAGCCACTGTTTCGCTTATCTATCTCAAAGATATACAGGAATGAACCCAGCGTCACTCAATTATTACATGAAAAGGAAAATTTGTGACCAAGAGAAAGGTCGCGTATATTTGTTCACTGTCTAACCCATCATAGGATACTTTCTTTTTTAAAATCTCAAAGATAAATTCCAGAGGAGAGCGGAATTTTCTTAATAATAACTAATCTATCAATCTAAAGAATAAATTGAACTGGTTTTAAACCTAACTCCCGCAGAGTACACAAACCCACTTGTTTGCTAACCTAACATACCGTAAAATTCTGAAAATAGGCCCCTCCAAATATAAGCTCCCCAAACTGGTAACGCAAAAACCCTCCGTTAAATCGCCCCTCCAAATACAAGCCCCCGAGGGCTTGTACTTGGAAAATTGCGACTCAAATACAAAGTAAAACAAAGCAAAAACGGTAAATTCACCTTCAACTATAAGGCTAGCCCAATCGATTTTGAAACGCAAAAGTCCCTCCGTACATAAGCCCCTCCGAATATAGGCCCCTCAAAAAGGGCCTTTGAAAAATATAAGTCCTGGGGCTTATTTTCGGAATTTTACGGTAACAATATTATAACAGATACTATGGCCTCAATTTCAGTTTAAAGGCGCAACATGAAAGAAGCTGTCGGATTAAGTCCTACCCATGTATGTTCGTACATAACTTTTGACCATTTTTGTCGGTGTGGGGGTGAGGGGGGTGGAAGCTGTTGAGTTGGTAGTCATAAGATGCAAACAAATTTAAAAACATCTTGATTTTCCAGCGCAGCTTCCTCTGTTAACACACACATCTTTGACATGCAGAATAAATAAACAAGGTTCAAATGGGGCACTTGGTGCTTTTGACCCAGAGGACACATTAGCGCATCGCACACCGATTTTTCGAGGCACTTTTCTCGACACAAATAAACTTCTTTTTCCCAAAAATAAGGACAATTAAAACCTCTTATAATAAACATTTGACTAAAAGAGACATAAAAACAGGACATCTGTAGAAAGATTCACTTACTTTTTGTAATCGCAATCCAAGCGTCTCTTTAGAGACGTCTTTACATTACAAACTGGTGTTATCTAAAAATACCGGATTGCGATTGGTTGAATATTTCCCGCGGACATTTATTGGGATCTTGCGTAGAAAGTGCCTCAAAAAGAGAATGCGATATAGCTGATACCGCCGTGTTTTTGCTTCAAGGGGCTATGTCACGGCTGGGTTACATTGTTCAATTTGTTTATAATCAGCCAATTACGAGTCTTTACTCGCTTTGGAACGCGATCACAAACACATATGTCTCCCAAGCATTATATCAAATGTTATGAACAACAAAAATGAGGACCGAAAAACAGGTTTTCAAAACCATAATTGCAATCTGTTTCAATCTTCTTCAAGTCTGTCTTCCCCTGCCAATATTCGTATTTTGGTGTTATTTATATATTAACGTTTTGAGCGGCGGTTATTTTTGTGGCAGTTCCCAGTTCTCGTGACACAGCTCCATTAAGCGTTTGTATTAAGAGCTCTTACCATATACCTAATACTAACGAAATGTATTCTACAGTGAGTGTGATATGACTGACTAGTCTGAGACTCCAAACAAAGAAGGTAGTAACAGGACTACAGCGATTGCCAACAGAGAGAAACCACAAAAGAAGATTACTGCCCACTGTTTGTCTGTTAAGGATATTCTGATGGTCTCCTTTACTTCCGGTT